GGGTCCAGGACGCGAACCGCGGTCGACTACGTGGGAGTCCAGCGACATAGCCATTACGCTAACTGCTGGTTCCCAATGTAGCATACTTTTTAAATGTCTGCTTTTTTTGAGTGTTATTCTTAGTAAAATACATACATTGATATTTCCTTCCCCAGGGGCTTCTGTGTATTTAAATACATGATCCTATTTAACAGTGATAAAAATTTTTCTCGAGGATGTATTTTTCATTTCCGGCTTTATATTTTTTTCAGCTTCCTTTTTTTCATTTATCCAAGACTTCTTCTGGAGTGGTAGAAGCCAAAAGCTTTACCACCTTTTCACAAGATTTACCACCCTTATCCAAAGCCACATCTTTCTTCCTGAGTTCTAGGACCTTGGAAAGGAATCGGCAGAGCTCAGCACTGGCCTCTCCTGCTGGAGGAGCTGTGATAGCTACATTTACAGCTTTGGTTGTCAGATCTGTTACTGCGTTCTGCTTGGAGCCAGGTTTTGCATGAATGGCTATGGTGACACAGCCTTTATGATCAATAGCCATTGGAACCTAGGGAGGAGGTGATCTCTCTGGTTCCTTGTTCTGGCTTTTCCCCTTGTTCATTGCACCAGCTTTCTTAGGCATCTCGGTGGCACAAGAGAGCCGAACACAGGCCCGAGCTCCCGATCCTGCTCGGAACCGCCTCAGTGGGAAACCCAGCCTGAGCATCCCTGCCTGGGGAGGCCGCTGGAGGCCTGCTGGCACCCTGAGGATTTCGTTTTGTTTTCGTTTAGTTTTTGCCCTCCCATAGTGACCAGGTGGTTGAGAAGAAAGGCTAGTAAGAAATCAGTTTAATTACTAGTCTTGCTTTTTTTTTTTTTTTTTTTTTTTAATTTGCCACGTGTACTCACCAGAGAGACAGAGGGAGAGGGGAAAGGAGAAAAGCACCCTCTAATGGGGTGTGCCCATACTACCATCCATTCTCTGTTTGTCCACCCTGGCAGGATTTGGGACACACTCACACAGGCATCCTCGTGTTTTTCAAGCTGGGGCCGAGATTCGAACTGCACTGTTGGCTATGTGGGATCCAGCTCCCTAAACCACCAGGCTATCAGGGCTGATCCTTATCTTGCTTTTTTTTTTCATTCACTTATTTACTCATTTGTTCATTTGTCCTGCAAATACAAAGCTGCTACCATGTCCCCGGTGCTGTGCTGAGTACTATCCATGAAGTCAGTGCTGCAGAGGTTCTGAGAGGGCCACTGCTCCCGACTCTTTCTGTCACATCTGGACTCCTGACGACCTCCTGTCACACCCTCTACCTTTAGCCACACCACCTCTTATCCTTCTCCAAGTCTGTATCTTACTCAGCTGTTCTAGCTACGTAGAAAGCCGTTCTCTGACTGGTGAATTTCTTTTCTTTCTTTCTTTTTTTTTTTTTTTTAAGAATTATTTATTTTGGGGACAGCAGACGGCATAATGGTTACGTTGCTAGACTACCACAGTCAACCGTGGTTTGAGGTGGCTTAAAACTCTCACCAGGTGTGTGTGTGTGTGTGCCCAAAATCTCGAGAGGAGAATGGAAGAGAAGGGATTGTGGCATGGCCATCCCCCCCAGGGAGTGATTTCTTGCTTTCTGTCTCCATTTCTCTCTGTCTTTCCAGCAAGTGCACACACCCTATAGCAAAAAAAAAAAAAAAAAAAAAAAATTCTTCTTTTTTTCCCCAAGAAAAAAAAAAAAAAAAAAAAAAAAAAAATCTCTTTAATCCCCCTGCCGCCCCAAAAAAAGAGAGAGAAGAAGAAGAAAAGAAAAAGGAAAATATACTTATTTCTACTTTGCATTTATTATTATTTAATTTGCTATAGGACAGGTGCGCTCATGAGAGAAAGACAGAGAAGGAAAGTGAGAAAGCAAGCCACCAGGTCTGAGACTCAAACCAAGGTTAGTCCTGTGGTGGTCCAGTGCCTTATCCACCGCTCTATCGGCTGGCTCCTGGTTGGCAAGTTTCTACTCATTCTTCAAGGCCCAGCCAAATGTCACCTCTTCTCTCCCTGATTCTCATCCTTGGACAAAATCAATGGCTTATACGCCATTTCATATGCCTTCATATAAATATTAAAAGATCATTTGTAAGTTCTAATACATTACATATTTATTATATAACATCTATTTTTTCTGCTTCATTATAACTCTTTGTAAGTAGCAACTGATGGCTCATATCACTATGTTTTCTTTAATAACACACCTAACTAAGCTGGAAAAAGAAATGTTATACACTATAAAGATATATGTGATTAAATATAATATATTAAAAAAAAAAACAAGGGACCAGCAGTTAGCTGAACTCCCATGTAGTCGACTGCTGTTTGAGTCCTGGACCTGGTGGATTAAACTCGTGCATGCCCAAGATCCCGAGAGAATGGAGGAGAAGGGATTGTGACATGGCTATCCCTCGGAGTGTGGGGGGGTGTTTCTCACTTTCTGTCTCTTTGTCTCTCTCTCTCTGTCTTTCTGGTGAGTGCATGTGCCCTATAGCAAAACCTCTCAAAAAAAATAATAATAATTAATTATTTTTTTAAGAAAATAAAATAAATTTTAAAAATAATAAAAGTAGTATGCCTAACCATGGCCACTCATATCAGTGCTCAGCAAATGTTTGGGTTAAATCCCACTGAAGTGAATTCCAGTGCTAGGTCTCAGTAACATGCTCACCGTGCAGCTCTACTATACATAGCTTGAGACATCTCTGAGGGTTCATTGAATGACTAACTCCCCTGGGACGTCCAGAGCTTCTTTGAGAAATAGATTATCAAGGCTGATGATTTAAAAGTAACTCAGCTCTCAAAGGCCTTAACTGTGCACACCCACTCCTTGCCAGGGCTTTAGCTGCTGAAGGTGCAAAATGCCATGGAATGTGGAGGCAAGACCCTTACAAATCTGCAGCGCACTTCCGCTGCTAAACCATCCGAGCTCCCATCAGCCCACGGGTTAAGGGCTCCATCTCCAACAACATTGCCTTCCTTTTAAATGCCAGCAGCACATTCAGGGGTCCCTAGACCACTCACACTTCCAACAAACTGATTACAAATCCAAAGGTGGCATGGTGGTTAAGGCAGCTGGAGCCCACATGGTGACGCATAGTTAACGTCCCAGACCCGGCAGCTTGAAAACCATGCTGGGCGTTTGTGCATATGTGCCCCAAGTCCTGAGATGAGAGTGGAGGAGAGGGGATTGTGAGATGGCCAGCCTTCTGGGGGGTGCTTTCTCACCTTCCCTCTTTCTCTGTCTCTCTCTGGCAAGCACACGTACCTTAAAGCAAATTTAAAAAGAAGAAAAGAATGTGTTCCCTTTGTGTTTGAGAATCGGCCAGAATGACTCACAGAGCTCAGGAAATAGTGCAGTGGCAACTTGGAAGGGAGACCGAGGTGCAGTGTGAGGCAAAAGTTTACCTGAGCCCAAGGCTGATGTCAATGTCCCGGCGACGCAGGTCCTACTTTCCTAGAAGGTGCTCACCAGGATAGCTTCAGTGACGGGAAAGAAGAGAGGTGACGAGTTGTCAGGAGTTCATATTGTTCCATTTAAAGGAGCACAGGCAGCTGATTAACCACACGTTAGTCTTTGCATCGCGATCCCCAGGGACATTGCAACGAAGAAAGGGCAGGGAGGGGCCAGCAGGTGGCGTGGTGGTTAATGCGCAGGACTCCTACGTGGCCCACCATGGAGCCAGTCCGGGATCTAGTGGCTTCCTTTCTTGCTTTCCTTTTCTCCGTCTCTTTCACTCTGGTCAAATTTTTAAAAATAATAATAATAATAATAACAAATGGTGTTAACTAAGTAATTTTTTTTTAAAAAAGGAAAGGGTAGATTTACTTTGTAAATCTATAATGGTTTGCTACATCAGTTTGGTTACTATAAACTAAAGTAAGCTTTTAGGCCATTTCCCATGGGACACAGGAAGGGTGTGGCCATGGTTAAGGACTCAGACCAAGGCTTCAGAATTTTTTTTTTTAGAGAGAGATTTTTGCTATAGGGCACATGCACTCACCAGAAAGACAGAGAGACAGAAGGCAAGAAATCACTCCCCAGGGTGGATGGCCACACCACAATTCTTTCTCTTCCAGTCCCCTCTCAGAATTTTGAGCATACATGCACATGTGCTAGATCCGGGACTCAAACCACAATTGACTACATAGGAGTCCAGCGACGCAACCATTATGCCATCTGCTGGTTCTGATGCTTCATGAATTCCATAAACTGCTCTGAATTCCATAAACTGCTCTGAACATGTTTCTTTTCTCACTATTACAGTTTTATCATAACAAATATAATCGGGGGACCAGCAGTTGGCGTAATGGCTATGTTGCTGGATTCCCATGTAGTTGACCATGGTTCAACCTGATGGCTTAAACTCACGCTGGGCACATGTGTGTGTGTCCAAGATCCCGAGGCGAGAATGGAAGAGAAGGGATTGTGGTGTGGCCATCCCCCCTGGGGGGTGATTTCTCATTTTCTGTCTGTCGTCTCTCTCTGTCTTTCTGGTGAGCGCATGTGCCCTATAGCAAAAACCTCTCCAAATTATAGATAGAGAGAGAGAGATAAAATTGGGGGGCTGGCAGGTGGTGTAGTGGTTAAGGGCATTGGGCTCCCACATGGCTGACCGCAGTTCGAGTCCTGGACCTGGCAGCTTCCTTTCTCACTTTCTCTCTCTTCCTCTCTCTTTCTCTCTCTCTCTCTCTCTCTCTCTCTCTTGCTCTCTTGCTCTCTCCCTCTCTGGTCAAATTAAAATAAACAAATAAAGTTAAATAAGAAATCATTTTATACACATATATGTGTGTGCATATATATATATAAAATCAAGACCAGCCAAATAAAGAGGGCATAGGCCAGGGTCTGAAGGGGTTCTCAAAGACACAACTTCCATGTCCCCTCCCTGTGGAATCAGAACCCATCGCCCTCCCAGCACTGACTTAGTCACCCACCAGGAAGCTCCAGCAGGTTTGTACTGAGGTATCATGCTCGATTGGCTGCTTGACTGAACTCAGAGTAACCTGCCCTCTTCAGGGGTGTCGTCGCTGGCTTCAAAACCCCAACCCTCTAGTCGTATCATTGATCTTGATCTGTTATGTTCTCAGTCATCTCCTTAACATGAACTCAGGGTGGTTCAGGGGTCCACCACAATAACAAAGCCAATCCTAGCACTTGAGAAATGCCAAGGGTCTAGAAACTTCCTCTCAAGAATCCTGGGCAAAGACTGAACAAATTCTTTATTCTCACCTTGAATTCAATGTGATGATTTACAAATTTGGTGATTTACAATCCAGAAAAGTAAGTGTAGGTATTTTCATTCCCGGGACCAACAGTTGGCATAATGGCTATGTCACTAGACTCCCATGTAGTCGACCGTGGCTCGAGTCCTGGACCTGGTGGCTTAAACTTACGCTGGGTACGCGTGCCTTCATGCACAAGATCCCGAGAGGAGAATGGAGGAGAAGGGATTGCGGCATGGCCATTCCCCCTGGGGGGTGATTTCTCACTTTTTTCTCTCTCTATCTTTCTGGTGAACACACACGCCCTATAGCAAAAACCTCTCCAAATAAATAAGATGATGTTATCATTCCCTGACCATGGTCTCAAGTAATCACAGGACTACCTCAGAGCATCTGGACAATTCCTTATTCAGAGCATCTAACAACGTTTTTGTCTCCCCAGGTACTATGGCTCAGACGAAACAAGGTAGGAGAAATGAATCCTCTCTTTTCTTTTTCTTTTTTAATAAGTGCTAGAGGACACATGCTCTAGCCAAAGAGAAACAGCGATAGAAAGAGAGAGGGAGAAACCACCTTTAGTAGGCTGTGGTCATGCTGTCATCCCTTCTCTTCCATTTCTCCATCCTGTCAGGATTTGGCGTACCTATGCACACGAGCCCCGTGTGTTTTACAAGCTGATGGGGCTGGAATCCTGGTGGGTCACGTGGGATTTATCAATAGCTCCCTTAGGCACGAGGCTGTGGGGTTGGCCCAAAATGGATCCTTTAATCCTCAAACTCAGGAAATGTATGGAAATGTGGCTTCTTCCCATGGTCATCCTACAGGAGCTAACAGTTTAGAGAAGATGGGATGATGCTTGGTACATAACTGATGTCGACCTTGTCAGCCAAATCAATAACTTGTCATGATCTGGCTGGGGCAGCTTTTCTGTAGTAATTAACTGTCAGAAGAAACAGGACCTCAGCCACCAGACAGGTCTCCAAGTGTGACCAGTGAGCCAGCAGCTACGGCATCCCCTGGGGGTATTTTTTCTCTTTCCTCCCAGAATTCCTGGATAGAACCTGAGATTTTTAATGAGATTCCCATGTGATTCACATGTGCATTAAAATTTGAAAAACACCGGGGCCAGCAGGTGGCGTGGTGGTTAAGAGCGCTGGTCTCCCATGTGGCCGACCACGGTTAGAGTCCCGGACCTGGTGGCTTACTTTCTCAATTCACGGCCCCCTCTCTCTAGCACTCTGTCCCTCTCCGGTCAAATTTTAAAAATAAATAAAGTTAAATAAAGTAATTCTTTTTAAAAAAAAATTGAGAAACACTGTTCTCCTGAGACCTCGAGACAGGAAGAATTTAACGAAATTCTTGAGGCAAGATCCTTAACAGAAATCGTGTTTTTCCCTTCTCAGGAAACAACTGGGTAAAAGTGAATGACAATCGAGAAGACGGTTCTGTCCTTCTGACTTGTGATTTGCAAGATAAAGATATCATATGGTTTAAAGATGGGAAGAATATAAGCTCCTTAAGCATCAATAAAAATACATGGAATCTGGGCAGTAGTACCAAAGACCCTCGAGGGATGTATCAGTGTCAAGGAGCAAAGGAAATTTCGCAGCCACTCCAGGTGTATTACAGAAGTACGTCATCCCCTCGGTTTGCTTGCTGTGAGATTAGGCAGCGTACTTGCTTTTCGCGGGAGCTTACTGTCCACGGTAAAGGTGGACCCAGATGCTGAGCAGTGAAGTAGCTGTTTCTCTGATTCTGTGTGCTGGTTTTTGTTTTGTTTTGGTTTGTTTTTTTTTTTTTAAGAGGTTTTTGCTATAGGGTGCATGTGCTCGCCAGAAACACAGAGACAAAGAGACAGAAAGTGAGAAATCACCCCCCCAGGGGGAAGGCCATGCTGCAATCCCCTTTCCTCCATTCTCCTCTCAGGATCTT